GATGCAACTGGAGTGGAAGACGGAGGGAGGATTTTCTGTGTCTCCAGGTAATCAAGTGACGAGCAGGCGAAGTGCATCCTTAGTCAACTGCTTAGGCACGAGTAAACTGAAGTGGGCGGCAACCTGCTGCAGATCCGCTTTGCGGCAACTCTCCAGCAGCCGGCACGAATAAGCCGCCACAAACACAGGCAAGTCAAAGGATGCCATGCTCCGACTCTAAGGGACACAAACAAAGTTAATATTTTTACACACACAATACCGGGACAAATAGAGCAAAATAAATGACAAATCCTGGACGAGCCCCCACGTTTTTACGTCCCTCAGCTCGCTAGGAGTGATGTTGTTGAGGTAGCAAAAATGTTGGTGTGTGGGTTGAATAATAACAGAGTGCAGTGTCGCTGTACCAAGGATTTATTTCTTTACAGAAAGAAGCACCAAAAGGTATTTACAACGTATGTATACACAAAAGGGAAAACTAAAAGCGCCAGCCCAGAAGGGGCTGGGAATACAAACGGAAAAGGTCCTAATCTAAATCTAAACTCTGAGAGGGAGCAGTCCTGTTAAGCAGGTACTCATACAAATTCCAAGTCCAAATCCAAGTCAAAGTCAGTTTACCCACGAGTCAATCCGAACTAGTTTACTAAGATGAGAGATTAAACAAACAGCTAACAAGACCGAGCACATGAGGAAAAGAGAGCACAATAAATGCTTTTGCACCCACCATACCCTGTACCTTCTCCCCGATTGAGGGCAGGAGAGAAGCTTTTAACAGCTGACTGGTGATTACAATTACACACAGCTGGGCAGCTGGAACCGGGAGACAGGCGAGGCAGAAGCCACTGAGGCCATCCTGGCCGAAAAGGGGAAGCGCACATAACAGGGGTACTTCGGGATTATGGTGTACCAAGCCTAAGGGTCGGGTCTCTGCTTTTTGCAGATGATGTGGTCCTTTTGGCTTAGTCAGAACGTGATCTCCAGCTTTTGCTGGAGCGGTTTCAAGCCAAGTGTGAATCAGCTAGGATGAGAATCAGCTCCTCTAAATCCAAGACCATGGGCTTAAATCAGAAAAGGGTAGAATGCCTTCTTCAGGTCAGGGATGAGGTCCTGCCTTAAGTGGAGGAGTTTAAGTATCTTGGGGTCTTGTTCACAAGTGAGGGAAAGTTGGAGCGCAAGATCCACAGGCAGATTGGTGCTGCATCTGCTGTGATGCGGGCGTTGTACCTCTCTGCCATGGTGAAGAAAGAGCTGAGTTGATAGGTGAAGGTCTCGATTTACTGGTTGAGCTATGTTCCAACCCTCACCTATGATCACGATCTTTGGGTAATGACGGAAGGCATGAGATTGTGGATACAAGCAGTCAAAACAATTTTTTTCCACAGAGTGTCTACGCTCTCCCTTAGAGATTGTGCTTGCTTAGTATGAGGATTGCTGTAAAGACTCTGACACTAGTCAGTGACTTGATGCAACCGGCTGGGTACCTTATTTAGGAAACTTTTTACTGATTGGCTTAATGAACCGACCTGTATTGGAATGTTTACTGTGTGAAGTACCTTGAGATGACTCTGGTCTGATTTGATGCTATAAAAATAAACTTGAATTGAAATTGAAATGGAGATAGGGTGAGAGGCTTGGTCATCTAGAAGGGGCACAGAGTAGATCAACTGCCCTTCCACATTGAGAGGAGCCAGTTGAGGTGGCTCAAACATCTGGTTAGGACGCCTCCTGGACGTTTCCCTGGTGAGATTTTCTAGCCACGTCCAACCTGGAGGAGACCCAAAAGAATACCCAAGACATACTGTAGAGACTATGTTTGTCGGCTTTCTTTGGATTCCCCCAAAGGAGCTGGCTCGAGTGACTGGGGAGAGGGAAGCCTGGGACTCTCTGCTTGGGCTTCTGTCCCCGCGATCCGACATCGCATAAGCAGAAGAAAATGGACGAATGGACTTTTTGGTGGCCCACAGAGACTTTTTAACTTAATGATTTTGGTCCTTGTATTGAAAAGTTGTGACAGAAACTTAAAACGTTGTGATTTATAATATGAGAAGGTATAAAAATAACATAATCTCATTCACTAGAGCTTGCTTACTGACTAAACAAAAATAGGCTGGTCAGTCTCACTTTAATCAGTCAAGCATGTAACGTAGTTGGTCATGTGACTTTATTGAGTTTATCTTTTAAAGAAAAACAATCATTACAATTACTATAGATGTTGTTCTAGTTGTTATTATGTTTCTAAATTAAAATGCTGTCATCTGCAGAGCTCTCAGGAGCCACTCTTATCCTTTATATGTAAGAATCATTGTCATGTTCGTACTGTTATCCCACGTGTACTCTTGTGGTTAGATTTAATAATTTACTTTGACTTCTGAATGACGTCTACTTTTTACATTTTTATTTATATAGTGCCAAATCACAAGAGTAATCTCAAGGCTCTTTGCAAAGTAAACATTCCAATTGAACCTACTAACCAATGCACTGAGTCAGTTTATTATTCCATTTAGTTAAAAGTTTTCTATGTAAGAAAACCCAGCAGATTGCATCACCTCACTGATTTGTTGTATCAGGAATGTGATCTCAGCTCTTTCATGCCTGTTAATCATGACATGTCTTCCTACTTACCTGCCACGTAATTTCTCTGTTATCATGCTACTGATGAGGTCATAGAGGCCGTCATATTTATTTCTGATAACTGACCTCATGGCTCTTAGACAGGAAGAGTGACTCAGCAGGTTTACTGAGCAGAAAAGAGGATGGGTGTTTATAATTGTGTTGTTGAACATCTGTATCTGTACAGTGACTGAAGCCAGCAACCCGTCAATGTTGCCTTCATGGCGATGTGAACAAACTGAATAAACTGATTCCTGCACAGAACAAACTGGTTCACCATGTTTATCGTCATTCAGGCTGACTTTTATCCCTTAAATGTTTGTTCTGCAGTCCTACTGACATGTTTCTGCTTCACTGCTACCTCATGTTGCTAATCACAATCAATAGAGAGTTTGAATAACCCTGGCACAGATTGCTGCTGCTGGTCGGTGAGTCAGCCTGGATGTTTGAGTGTATACAAAAATAATCCTGGGAGTGAGGAACATAAGAGTATAGGAATAATACATTTCAGCATGTTTTGGGTAATGCCATCATTTACTAAACATTTACAACATTGTGAACCAGGGTTGCAAGTAAATCTTTACACAACCAGAAATCAGAAAGCTTTTCTTGTCACTGCATGAGAATGCAACAAAATTTAAATGTCACTCATGTTGTGTATTTGGCACATCACAAAAGAAAATACAAGATATAAGAACAAAGAAAGGTAGACATAAGAATACATACAAATGAATCTTTACTGGATGAAATATTGTGCAAATAGCTTTATCACTTCAACAGAAATGTTATTTAAGTTATATTAGATTCATAGCACAGATGACTGCTGTTCAAGAAGGTTTTAGAATCCATCCTACCACTGAACAAGAGATGAGATGCCTTTAGGTCAGACTGAAGTATGTTAAGAACAGCCTGCAGGGAGCTTATGCACACTGGAAACATGCCTTTTGTTCAGATGAGATGAAACTAGAGCTCTATGGAGACGTAGATTGTTGGCTGTTTATTTCAGTAAAGATGGGAGTATGGTGATGTGGGGTTGATTGAATGGGTCTGGAAATTGGAATCATGTTGTGTTGGAAGGCAAAGCAACATCCCAGACTAAAATTTTAGTCTGGGATGTTGCTTTCTTTTTCTTCCAACACAACCCAAAAACACACATCTCTCCTGGTTAAGAACTTCTCAGAAGACTGAAGTGAATGTTACTCAGTGGCCTCCCTTAAGTCCTGACTCAAATACTACTGTCTGCCACTGCTGTCACAGCCCATTTCAAGCATCTGCAAAATTGCTGCTAGAGTATTAAATTCAAGTTTGACAACCCCAAGTGACATCTTATCTAAACATACAGTGGGATGCAAAAATATTTTATGCTTTTCCTGTATAAATCATTGGTTGTTCCGATAAAATATTTCAGCTAAATTTATCGTATAGCAAACACACACAGTGATGTTTGAGAAGTGAAATGGCATTTATAGGATTTACAGAAAGCATGCAATATTGTTTAAACTAAATTAGGCAGGTGCATACATTTGGGCACCACAAAAATAAATGAAGTCAATATTTTGTAGATCCTCCTTGTGCAGAAATAGCCTCTAAACGCCTCCTATAACTTCTAACGAGAGTCTGGAGTCAGGCTGAAGGTATTTCGGACCAATCTCCTTTACTAAACATCTCTAGTTCATTCAGGTCTGATGCCTCTGAGCATGGACAGCTCTCTTCAACTCACACAACAGATGTTCAATAACATTCAGGTTAGGGAACTGAGATAGCCATTCCAGAACATTCTACATGTTCCCCTGCATGAATGCCTCAGTAGATTCTGAGCAGTGTTTAGGGTTGTTGTCTTGTTGAAAGATCCAGCCCCGCTGCAGCTTCAGCTTTGTCACTGATTCCTGCACACTGGTCTCCAGAATCTGCTGATTTTGAGTGGAATCTATGCATCCCTCAACTTTAACAAGATTCCCAGTCCCTGCACTGGCCACACAGCCCACAGCATGATGGAGCCACCACCATGTTTTACTGTAGGTAGCAGGTGTTTTTATTGGAATGCTGTGTTCTTGTTCCTCCATGCGTAACACCTCTTGTTATGCCCAAATAACTCAGTTTAGTTTCATCAGGCCACAGCACCTTATTCCAGAAGGAAGTAGAATATTTGATGCCTTTATCAAAAGCTGGAGTATTTTCTACATTCTACAGTTTTTAATTATACACTTTTTATTTAGCATAACTTTTTATAAACTATGTTAAATACTTTATAACTTTTGTTTTGTCTTCTACATTTTTTAAAAATAATTTTCTTCTTTGATTTATATTCTTCTTATCCTTCACTGCAGTTTATTAGTTGAGTAGTTCTGTGTTTTTAATTGAACTTTATGTATTTTTGTCTTTTTTCTCTCTAGTTTGCTCCAGTGAGACCCATCCACTTACATGACTTTCCTCCACCATGAACGTTGTAGCTTTATCACCCCTGAGTCCTGAGCCTTCCTCCCCAGTGTTAATGTCGATGACTCCAATAACCCCAATCCTGGACCCAGACATCTCCACATCTTCTACCGTGAACACCGGTCCTTCTTCCAACGTGAATCTGGACCATCAGTCCCTGGATGGAGACTCTTCAGCAGGCCTGAACCCTAGCCAAGAAGTTGGAGGACCTAACTTTGAGAATGACTTTTCTCAGAGGTGTGAAATTACTCATTATTCTGTCCATTTATTAAACTATGAATAACATTTTCATTTAAGATCACTGTGATTTATCTCTGGCAAACTGATCATGTCCTGGCCCAATGGTTTCATCAATTGTCAGCGTAAATCACTAATTAAGGACAAAGTAAAGGTAGCATAAATGCAGCATGATGCCTGTGGAGTGAAAAGAAAGAGAAGTTAGTGCTGTTGCAGCCATGTTGAGTAATAGTTAACTAAGACTGGCAAACTGAGGAAAAACTCTCCCATGGTTGTCTTTGCCTGCATTCAAACAACAGCTAATCTGGAGTCTGGGGTGCATGCTTTTGTCCTGTTCCTACTGTACTACTGCAATGCTCGTCTGAGTCAGGGTGCAGTTGCACGGCTCCAACTCATCCAAAACTCACCTGTTAGGTTTCTGAGAGGAACCAAATGCTGGGACCACATTACTCCAGTGTTGGATACTCTGCACTGGCTCCCGGTGCAGTACAGAGCATTATTTAAGATAATAGTGCAAGACTCTTCGGGGTAGTGCTCCTCCTCATCTTTCTGCACTTTTGGACAGATCAGGTCTTTAGGTCCTGCTTAAAGGCTCCTTTTCATTTGGTTGCCTTTCAGCATTAGGGCTTCATGACACTGGCTTGATGTTGCTGGTTTTGTCACGAACAGAACTCAGAAAACCCGTAATGACACCAAACACAGTAAAAATAGATTTTAAAAAGTCTTTATTTGCAGCAGAGTTACCAGGAGGGCGAGGCTGGAGACAGAGTCGGGGACAGGCGAAGGTCGAAATGGCAGGCAGCGTGCAAGGCAGGGGTCAGGAGGAAAAACAAGGTCTGGAGGCAGAAAACAGGCAGGGAGAAACTGGAAGATTTACTAGCAATAACGTTCAATAATCTGGCAGTGAATGACTGGATGGCTGGTTCTTTTGTAGCAGGGGAAACAGGTGTGAGTAATGAGCTGAGGAGTCAGGAGCAGGTGAAGTGGATGAAGGCTGATTACAGGAACAGGTGAGACGAATGAAGTTGATAGTGATGCTGACTGAGGTTGCTAGGGAAAACGGGGCTTGGCTGGAGCTTGGTGAGGGGACCAGGTGAGCTGAATGAAGAGTAAATGAGGAGGCAGAGGAGGGTGAAGGATGGGAGTCGTGACAGGTTTTCATTTGTTCTTATCCTTGTCTCTTGTTTTTATTTGACTGTCCTCATCTTTCACATTTTTTTATGATTGCTTTTATATATTGTTTGTTACTGTTTTATGATTTTATATGTGTTTTATTCAGCACCTTCAGCTTCTGATGGGGAATTGAAAGTGATGTTTAAAATTCAATTGAACAAACAATTTTGAATATGCTGCCTTTTAATTTCACTTACAGGTATGTAGCTCCGCCCACATCCCAAGTGCAGGTCGATTGATCAATTAAGATTACAAAAAGAAACAGATTACAATAGTCGGCAGTTACAATAAATGAGATCGATCCTAAAATATACCGACTAATATAATAAGAACAAGTAAAAGAGAATATTTTACGAAGAAGTTACCATAAGTATGGCCCAAAAGGTACCTGGAAAATATTAAATAGTATAATTAAAAACAAAACTGGGGACAATCTTTATTCACAGTTCTTTAGAGAAAATTAATGCAGTATTAAAAACAAGGATGAAGTAGCAAACGGATTCAACACATTCTTTGTAAATATCGGACCAAAATTGGCAGAATCAATAGAAGTAAAAGAGACACTAACAAATACATTAGATTATATTGAAAGGAACAACACTTCCATGTTCCTGTGAGCAGTGGAAGAGAAAGAAATTTATGACATCGTCAGTGGCCTTAAGAGTAAAACCTGCACTGCCTGGAATGAAATTGATACGATTACAGTGACGAGTGTTATTGATGGTATTATTAAACCCTTAACATACATTTTTTATTTATCCTTTCAGAATGGAGTCTTTCCAGACAAAATGAAAGTATCAAGAGTTGTTCCCGTCCACAAGTCAGGAGATAAGCACCTGTATAGATGAGAGCCTTGTTGGACGCACAGTTGCAACAGTGACTTTGTTTTATTTCTTTTTTCCTTTCCATCTTCTTTATTTTTTGGAAAAAAGGTGTAAATTTGTTAAAATGAAGGAATTGATACTCTTAGATTAAATTGGATTTTTTACCTCTTTTGAAACATTAAATAGTTAAAGGGGGTAGGGCCTTTAAAGTGCATACTTCAACCTACCCCCATTTCAAACAATGTGGATTGTTACAAATTATGTTATTTACTTTGTTTTTAATTGGTGATGTTTGAAATAAAAATTAAGAAACAAACAAAATAAAGTGTGGATTGCCGTTACCGATAAAGGTTTTACATGCTGCTCAATTGAAAGCATTTCCATCTTTAGTTTGAGATTATATATATGTATATATAAAATGAAGATTTAGAATCATAAACCCCTCTGTGTTTATGATTCATAGATGATCTCATGGGCTGTGGCCCCTATACTCTGGACCTTTCTCCCTCTGAGCCTGAGATCAGTGGACTCAGTGGTCTCCTTTAAAAAGCAGCTGAAAACTCACTTGTTCAGGCTGACTTTAGTGTGACCTTCATCATCCTCTCCTTGTTCTGTTCTTATTCTGCCTTTCCACTGAAGATCCACTGATTTCCCTCTTTCCTATTCATTTCCCCCTCTCTTTCCTTACATGTATTTTTTATCACAAATTTTATTTTTCTCATTTTAAACATATTTTTCTATTTAAAAAATCCTTTTTATACTTTACATTTTATTTTTATTTTTTGTGAAGCACCTGAGGATTTTTATCTTAAAAGGCGCTACATAAAAATCCTTTATTTTCTCTTTCTTTCTTTCTTTCTTTATTTCTTTCTTTCTTTCTTTCTTTCTTTTAAACTGAAAAAACAGAAATTTTCACAATTCTTTTTCAATGCATTCCCTTTGGACCGTGAGAAATCAAACGCAAATGTAAAGCCAAGGAGAAGCTGTTAATGATGATGGTGTGTCTGGTGTTTTCAGGACAACGAAGCCTCCACCGCTTCACACTGGTGCTGACTGGAAAGTCGTCCTCCATTTACCAGAGATTGAGAAGTGGCTTAGAGCAACCAGCGACCGAGTCACACAGCTCACACACTCTGTTGGTCAAGACAGTGACAACAGACATGTTGATGTTCATCTGGTGCAGCTGAAGGTAGACATGCCTGCAAACTCAAACAACATGATTTCTGTTTACTGTATCCATGAACCAGCATGGCCTGTAACAATAAAATGTCAATTGTAACAACTCCCCTGGTAAGGGAAGGTTAAGGCTGTGCACAAGACCACATCAGAAAACCAAAATTGCTATGAGGGCCTGTGGTGAAGGAAAGGCAATGAAATGTTGTGAAAGTAACTTAATTATTAACTCAAAACATAAATATAAAAAATTCAAAATTGCAAACACTAAACGTACTTAAGGTAGACAAAAAACCACAAGCAGTCAAACAAGACATTTGAAAGTGGCCCTCTGTTTAGTTTAAACAGTTCAAAAGTGCAATAAGTTGTTTCTGTGTTCTTTTCTGTCCTTGGTTAGAAGAGTATCTCCAAACTGTGAAAACTCAAGGTGTCCACGGTCCAGGAAGAAAAAAATAGAAGAATAAATCAAGCAGTCCTTCTAGTTCTAGTAGATTACCACCCACTGCTTCACACTAGCAACGACAGAAAGACATGATTACTTCTACGTTGGTTTTTGGTCCATGATCTGGTCAGCACCTTCCTGGACATTATCCTCACAGGGGAGAGGCGATCGGAGAACACTTCCACTAGGCAGTTCACTCTGAGTTTAACACAGCAGTACTTCAATAAAAATTATGAGGGAGTGATTCAATCTTAACTTGATTTATATCTAAAAAGAAACGGCACATTGGATTTCACAGCCCTAAAGTCCAGCCATGGCCTGAAGAAGTAAATATTCCTACATGTTAATGGGCCAACCAGTCACATACTAAACAACTCCCAAGATCTTTTCTTTGTATTAAACATACTGTATCACCTTACACCCTCTAGTGTTGGTACGGGTTATTCATGAAGATAGAAGAAAGCAAATATAAAAGATAAAACATAGATAAATAAATAAATAAAAGCATTGGTACATTTTTGGGATGTTTATTTCAGATTCATGGACAAAAGGTCAAAATGTGTTTTATTGACAGTAGTTCTATAAGAAAAACTGTTAAAATGCTAGTGACATAATTTGTCCCTCCAAAACAAGTGAAAACATAAAAAACACAAATTATATTTTGAATAAACATAGAGTGGAAATGAAAAAAAATATTTAGCTTTAGATAATAAAGTTAGAGAAGAATATAAAAGAAATAAACGTGTAATACGTTACCATACTTGGCTCATCTGGACTCAGCCTAATATAATTTTTACTCGTGTGTGTGTGTGTGTGTGTGTGTGTGTGTGTGTGTGTGTGTGTGTGTGTGTGTGTGAGTCTGTGTGTGTGTGCGTGTGATTGCATATGTTTGTTAATGTTTTTAACCTGTTATGGGAATCTGGGGTCATTTTGTAAAGCACTTTGAATAACACTTTGTTTGAAAAGCGCTTTAGAAATAAAATTTGATTGATTGATTGATTGAGATTCAGTGTAATGTTTAAAGTTAAACACGAGCCTACTGAGGATGTATAACTGGCTGATACTGCCATCTAGTGGCAATAGTTTGCATTACAATGTGGGAAATTTCCCTTTGAACCATAAACATGGTGCACCTGACCCTTCATTTATTTTAGCTTACTGTGTAGGAAAATGTAAAATAAAAACAAATCTAATAGATTTCATATTTCCACATTAATGTTACAGTTAAAAATGCCTTTGAAGCATGAAATTTACATATGCCACTAAGAAAGTTGTCATTCTAAAAAGCCAAACACATTTTTTTTTTACTTTCAGTTGAAACACTCGAATTCAATCTCCATTTTAATGTTTTTCTTTCTTCTGTTTCAACAACGTGAAACAGTTTTGTCCCGTGTCCTGTCTGGCTGTGAAGCAAACAGAATTAATGTTTGAATACTGGTGACGCCTTACAGATTTACTCTCAGGTGGAGCATCAAAGCGTCTGCTTTAATGTCACGCCTGATACTTAAAACTTTATTGATATTGTTTTTTGGATGCTTTGTAATTCTGACCAGACATGGAGACAGAGGTGAAAGAGAAAGGAAGAGATAAAAGGAGGAGGATGAAACAGAGGACACTTGGCTTTGTCTCCAGCTGTCTTCTCAAAGATGCCTTTAATACGTGTAAAGCCTCCTCTGAATCACTAGATGAGACGAATATTCAGCTATAGAACAACATAATATGTTTATAGACTTCTGCAGAGGGAATTCAACATGCTTGTTGTGCCTAAAATAATCTTTTCAACAAGTCAGTAGTACAAAAATGAAAATAAAAATCTAGAAATTATGCTTATATTATCATAAATATTAACTATTTACTGATTTATCAACAGGATTGTTTCAGTAATTATCAGTCCATAGTTTTACATTCAACACAATTTATGATGCACCAGTTTGTCAACACTATAGGACTGTCAGTAAGGAACATGTGAACCCTTGCCAGGACATCACAAAAAGCTATTTTGCCCACATTTTGACTGATAGGTGACATAATTAAGAAAACACTAAATGGCTCAAATGGTGGGCAACTAATGAATGTGTTTTCTGAGCAAAATGCTACTGTAGTAACTCAACCCTGTAGTAAATTTTGAGCCCCGCCCCAGGTCCTGAGGCCCCGCCCCGCCCTGCTCCAGGTCCCGAGGCCCTACGTACTCTGCGTACCTTGCGTATGGACCGCGGCGGCCCTGCACCCAGCGCCACATTGACACATTGCCTTTTGTGGGCTGCTGTAGCTGCATGATGTACTCTGAAGTGTGTTGATAAAAAGTGAAGTATTTTACACACTGTGCCATTAAATAGATGTAGTTTTTACTAGGGATGTTCCAGCAACACGTTTGTTCCTAATCTGAGTCCAGCTCCTCTGATTATGAGTACACGCTGATACCAAGTATCTCAAGCTGAAGTGGTGCCAGCCAGCTGCTTCTCCTCTGACATCATTGAGTGGCAAACCTCTCACCACAGTGGTGTTCTCTTGCTAAATAGGTGAGTGCGTTGTGAATGGAGGACCCAGGGACGTGTGGAAGTGCTGCAGTTCGGTGAGGTCAACAACCGAGTAGTTGCTTTTGGTCTGAGCTGTTGTTTTAGCTCAGGCTTTCAGACAAATGTGAAAGAACCACTTCATTGTTTTTTCTTTTTCTTAATCTTCACAATATATTTAAAGCTGTACCACATTAGAAGGAGGCACATTTTAAGCAGCAGCTTTAAGGAGTCTGAGCAGGACTAAACGCAGACTCTGTGGTGATGTGTGAAAGGAAAAGCTGAGTTTGCTTTTAAGGTCACGCAGGGCCGGCCCTGAGCTGCATGGTGCCCTAGGCGAAAAAGGATTTTGGCGCCCCCTACTGCCCAGAACAGAAACACACAGTAACTCAATATCTGGATTACATTGCAAAAAATATTTATTTATTTGATTTATTACTAAAATGAACAATAGAGACTATAAATAGAACAGTACAATGGAGACACACTCAAAAATATTCACAGTAAACATTTACAAAAAGTAGCAACAGAGAAAATGGCTGAAAACAATAGTGCAATTCTTAAAATGTAAACAATATCAACGTATCAATAGTAAATAAAATAACATTAGTTTCATAGATTTAAAAAAACAAACGTGCAACTCTGAAAATGTTGTAAATAGTAAATAATTGTTAAAAACAAATTAAAATGTTTGGATCCCAAAAGTTTGGATACACCTCTTTCAAGTCTTTTTCTTCAAGGAAAACTAGAAGTTCTAACATTGTCATCCTTGGTTTTGGCCGTGGCGGTAAAGACTTCATCTCCACAATCAGTTCCTCATCATTCAGGTCTGCCTGATCTCCTGATTTGTCAGGGTTCTGCACAAATCTTTGGTCTGCCGTTCAAGCTCCTCAGTTTGCAGATTGGGGAATTTGAGGAGAACACTGAACTTATTTGCAACATTGCACATCATTTCTGTTCTCTCTCTTAGTGATGCAACGGGCACATCTACAACCAAGCTGAAAAATGAGACCTCCATTTTCATTAATCAGTCAGAGGTTCATCAGGGGCCTCGTAGGAGAACTGCCTTTTAGTATTTCTGAGTTGTTTTTGTTCTAGAGCAGCCCCCACATTCACCTCTTCACACGTCTCTTTGGTAGATGTCTGGGCTGCAGCAAAGCCATTCTCTCTGTAGGCAGCAAGTGCGCCTTCTGCTTGTTTAAGGAGATCAACAGCTACATCCACCTGCATGCTCTGAGACTGCAGAAGTTTACTCACATTCTGGAATGTTGTAAGAATGGCATACCACACAACACTGCATATTGAAAATCTGTATGGTCCAACTTCTTCTGCCAGTGGTTGTGCTTCAGTTTGTGTGGCTGGATCTGCAGTACTCACTCTTATCTCTAAAAGAGCATCCCTCCCTTTTGCGACCTGGAATCTGACAGCCGCCACACTGTTGATTCGACTTTCCCATCTAGTATCTGTCCACGATTTCACAGTTGTGTCAAGATGTTTTGTTAAAATGGACCACCTGTGAGTGAAAAAGTTAGTTTCTGCAAGTAAACAAAGTCGACCGTTGCATCTGCAGAGCTCTTTGCTGCATCAGACACAGCTAGATTTGTAGTGTGTGCTCCACATGGCACATATAAAGCCCTAGGGTTAATCTGAAGCAGTCCGGCTTGGACTTCCTTGTTCTTCCCTTCATGTGTGCTCCATTGTCATAAGACTGCCCTCTGCAATCTTCAAATGGTACTTGGTTGTTCTCCTGTAAGAGAATAAAACACTCAAATAGTTATCATGAAAACATCTAGATACATAACGTTTTAGTAAAAAAAAAAAAAAAAGACAACAAGGGGGGTCAGGATTTGGCACCCCTCCAGCAGAGGGCGCCCTGGGCAATGGCCTAATGGGCCTATGCCCGGGGCCAGCCCTGAGGTCAGGTATCAGATCCGTGGTGTTGAACGAGCTTTGTTGTATCCACCACATTCAGAAGAGCCATATCTTGAACCTTCAAGAGCAACGGTAGGCACAATATATGATCAAATATTACTGGCACTATTGAGATGTCATTTATCTTCA